GGAAAGGAAGTTAAAAAAAAACTATTGACATCAAATTTGGCCACTTTTTTGGAAAATTAAGAATTCATTGCAATCAGAATTTCACTGCATTCATAAAAAGATTATGATTCATAACGCATTTCTTTCTGTAAATAGTAGCGCATTATATTCGTTATGTCTTTATTACAATCGAGTCAATCTCTCGCCTGAATATTTTTTCCGAAATTTGTTTCAATTTCGAATGAAATAAATGAAGAATCGACAAAAAGAGACAATTTAATTCCATTTTTCTCTTCAACTTCCTTTAATTCGGTTATTGATTGAATTTCTATTGGATTTTCGCGAGAACGTGCAAACATTTTCGACAAAAACTGTAATTTGCAGATTAATCTGTTCATTGAATTCCAACGTTTTTCATCGTTCGCATAAAAAAAAACACCGAAATTTCTTGACCTCTTCAACTGGGATTGAGTTTGGTATGGGTGTGCTAAGTTTTGCACAGTTTTACACCTGATGACGTCCAGTCAATAGTAATTGACTTCCAGCCAGAATTTTAAACTCGGAATAGGCGATTAAGCCTAAAATTGACGTGATTAAAATAGTGAAGGAAAAAAAGACCGATTTTCATTGTGGAATGAGTATGAATTTGCATGAAACGTGCTAACGACTTTAACGACTATAGCACCGAATATACCGTAAACGGTGTGTATTGGATCGGAATCGATGTCGTCGTCGACGTCGTCGTCGTATAATTGGTATACATATGTGTGTTGTGGTTGATATGCAATGCACACACGCTACGGCAAACGACATGTTTTGCGTTTTTATTAACAATATTATTTGCGAATCAATTTATATGACTTTGCAGATCACGTTCGCCAATCATTAGTATCATTATCAACGAGCTTCCGAATTGAGTGTAGAAGAAAATCGCGTAGTACAGGTGAGAGAATCGAATCAACGTGACGATTGAATGTGGCATGTGAAACATTGGTTTACATCGACTAGATGCGATTGTAGTGCCCACCTATGGATGTTGTTTTGTTTACAGCTTATCAAAATGCCGATTAAAAGTACATCTGATCAAACTTCCTACACATGATTGCCATTGCCTGGTGCTCATGAACTTCGTGTTCGGATGGAGTGGATATGTTGAAGAGCAAGACAAAATGAGGAGGAAATTATGCTGTGGCCCATTCAAAGGTGCGTGGACAAAAAACTAGCAGAAAGAGATGGCTGTGCATCATGACTTAACCGAATCAATGGTTATACATCTTTGTGTCGTGTTTTTTTTTCCTCTTCTCTTCGACACACGCCGTGACTGTCGCATATTCCATGAATGACCACGAATAGAAGAGTTGAGCTCATAAAAGGCTATCGACAATTGTATAAGGTTTTAAAGTGATACTTATGACTATTCAAGTATCGCATTTGATCGTACATACAACACTCGATTTTTCGCTTTGTTTACTCGCTTCAATTTCTCTCTCGACTTTGCCTACAGCTGCTGTTTGCTGCTGCGGTACAAAACGCTACAGTTCGTATTGTTACCGCATAGGAAATGTGTCTAATAACCTATATTTTAACAACACCAAATAATATGCGCGATTTAGAGAAGCCGAGTGAGAAACAAAAGGAGAACACATACTGTACGGTACTCACATGATGTCTGATCGCGCCAATCTATTTAAAAAGTGAGAAGATAGATTTAAAAGAATAGCTTGCGCGCGCTCTATCGCATGAGCATGCTGATTTGGAACGACGGAAAAAAAGATCGTAGGCAAACAATGATAACAATTATTCGCCCGAATAGAGGTAATGTGTGTATGTGTGCGTTGTTTCGATTTTAAGATGAGGTTACACAGTAGTTGACCCCAAACACCACATATGATTCACTTGATGTCCGCATTTACCATATTCATTTAATCATTTTGCTTCACCCATTTCGACGTGTTCCAAGCGGAATGAATTAAAGCGGCCGGCAATGAATTGCATGAATTTTGGTGTGTATTTGATCGCATTTCCATTGACGTCATTTTAGAACTCTTTTGTGCTCTGCATGGATTGGATTTCAAATACACAGCGCACGGCTTTTGTTCTGTATGCAAAAATCGATTCCACTTAGATGGTCTTTTTCCTTTCGGCGTCCTCGTTCTTTGCTTCTTTTAGATTCTCGAACATTGTTTTTTTCTTTTGCATATATCAAATTGAAATTCGAATATAAATACCTTAATTGTATGCGCGATGCTGGTCGGAAAGAAAAGAAATTGTTCATCAGTAAATCACCTGGAATGTGTATTCTTATGTTCTTTCTTCGATTCCTTCGATTTTTTTTTCTTTCGAGAATCGAATGAGCGCACAAAATTTCGCGTCATCGATGAAAAAAGCATATCAACTTGATTGTGAGTCGCACACATCGACTGCGGTATTTTATCCACTTATTGGAATTATTCGTGTTATTCGAAACCTCTTTTTTTTCGTTAAATTAAATCAGTCGTCAGACGGTTTATCATTTCATTTAATTTGTGCGGTTTGTTCTCAATGAACACCCATTTTATTTCTACATGACCCAACTTTGTCTCATTCGATATGGTTTTTTTTGCCTCTTTGTATATCGCATAGATTATATATTGAGTCATCGATGGCACTGTCATCGACAACGTTCTCAACGATAGGTCATTTATGCATGTATTTGCATCAAATTAATGTTTATTTCTTGAATTTAGCTCAAGCTCTTGGCTCAGCTTCATTTTCAAATATATATAAAACAGGTCATTGACCATTGAACTCACGGTATGATAGGCTCAAAATAAGCAATTGCAAGCAAAAAGAGAAAGGATTTGATTTATCATCTCTTTAAAGCCCCATTTAAGTCGTAAAAATCATTCATTGCATCAATTACCAAGTGACACAGCGGAGACACACAAAAAGAAAATCAATTAAAACATTTTTGAAGTGAAGCATCAAGTGCAGCAATGTTTATCGATTGTAAATGATCGTTTAAGCAATGCTGTTTGAAATGAAAACCAAAACAAAAACAAAACAGTGGAACAAACAAAACCAGTCAATCCATATATAATTATATATGATTGCGCCATCTTATGCTCGATTACTTCCTTCGTAATATTTCATTTATGATTATTGGATGAAGTGCTGGTACGGGTCGATGCGCACTCAGTGCGCCATACCTCGATTACCTAATAATTATGATTAGTACTGAGGTTCTGTCTTCGACTTTTGTTTTTTTTTTTCGTTCTGTCTTCATAAATTTGCATAAAGATTTCATGAGGGGCTTTTTTGTCATCTCATTTAGTGAGTCGTCTTCATCTGAAATTCTTTACTGTGGACTTTTTTTTTGTTCTCTTCTCGCGCCTGCTTTTTTTGAGTTGTTTAGCTTCATGGCAGCGTACATAATTATTATTATTCAATTAGTAATTAGTAGATGCTGGTATGTTTTATGTTGCTTTTTTCATCATCATCATCATCATCATCATCAACATCATCACCAATGGAGTTCTCGGCTCTGGCGGCCATTGATGACTTGTCGCCCTATTAAAGCGCACAACAAGCAAAACGATCAATTGAGCACGGACAAATACAATATTTATCATTCGTCAAATTGATAATAATAATTCGCCGCAACAGAATTTTCACATTGTAACCCAAAGAACATAAATAACGTGTATAATCAATTCGGCCAGCAAGTCCTTCAACGAATAGTTGTCGTTGCAAAAATTAAATTTCTTGTGTCGTCTTTCGAATCGAGCTTCATAGTTTATGATTGTATTTATTGACCCTTCCTCTTTTGTTATGTGGAATAGTTGGAGTGTTTGTTGTCGCTCATGTATGCTTATCGCATATAATCGGTCAAGCAAACACATGGAAAGCCTCTGCAAACATACGAATTTCGTTGCTGTTGTTGTTGTTGTTTTTTCTTTGTTTCTGCGCTCGACCAAATACAATTTGCTATGGCCATTGCAAATAAATATGCGAGCGAATGTGCAAACGCACGCGCGCCTCAGCATTCTCTCTCGCGCGCTTGAGTACATGAAAATTGACAAAAATCGAGGTTAAGCGAATCAGTATTGTATTGTGCTGGATATTTCGCTATTTTCGCAATGTTGTTTTGCGAAGAGAAACGAAGAAGGAAAAAAAGCAGCAGATTTCGATAGCAATCGAACAAGTCGTCGAAAACAACTTGAGAACGAGCGGCAAATGTATGTGCGAGTACGAATATGTATGTGTATGTGCTAGCCAGTCCATTAGAATCCGTTAGATTAAATTTTTCGCTGTGCCAATGTGATAGCACATAATTGCTTTGGCACGTATGCTTATTGCTTACACATTTCTTTCTATCCATATTCATGCAGATCTTTGGCTTTGGTTTGCCGGACAAAACCACAATGAGAAAAAAAAAACCGATGATTCGCTCGGGTCGGCCAGTTTGTCGATTTGTGCACCTTTCTCATTTCTCTCTGGTCTTTGCAGCGCATCGACAACCGTGGAATACTGTTCTAGAGGAAATATAACGCAATGAAAAACCAAAACGTCATCAAATATCGCCAATATGCGCATTTATTTCTCTTCGACTTGTGATACCACTCGATGACTCGCTCGGATGCGAATCTCTTCTTTTTCTCCTGTTCCACAGCGTATGGTTGTGCGCTGCTCTTTCTGTATTAGCTCATTATCAGCGGTTTTTTTTACTATGATGGCAGAACTGGTTTCTTTGTTACAATGTTTCATAATCATCATCACCAAGGTATGCCTCAGTTATTTGTTCTATCTCACTCACTTACTCACTCTTTTTCTCATATTTTTGCTACTCTTTTTTTTCTGCTCCTCTATCTTTTCTTTTTCCGATATGTATTTTTCTTTTATTTTCGATTGCCTTCTTATTAAAGAACGTTTTAGACGCCATAATGATGATCGATATCGTTGAGTATGTGTTCTGCTAGCAATTCAAATGAAACAATGATGAAACAACATTTATTATAGAATTCAAAGACAGTAAACACGTTCGCTATGTCGCAATCAAATGAATATTGTTTTATTTAAAGAAAATCTTGTCATTGGCCACAACACACAAATTATTATTTTTTTTTTTTTGTTTGTGGCATATCAATCTCCCTCTCTGAATATTTTCTGGTAGCGATTATTCATCAGGTGATTTCAAGCATCCTCTTCGCAAAGCGTTGTGTGCGTGTGCGTTTTACCATGTTCTGGCTAGAGGCGGCGGGATGGGCGCTGGTAATGGTGGTGCTGGTATTGGCCCTGCGGGAACTGGTCCATCGATCGCGATTGAACCGACTGTGCCGGCTGGAAAAGGTCCTGTCGCAATGCCAGGGGCGGCCTGCAAATTCGATGCGATAACTGACTCAGCATAACCCAACAATGGGGCGATGTGAATGGAGCCTGGAGTTTGTGCGATGTACAAACTCGTTCTGATTGAAGTAAAAATGTTCAGAACTTGCATTGCCTTGCATTGTATTGCACTTTTATCCATCAAAATAATAATTTTATTATGCATTCTACTTACCCTTGAAGACCTGGCAAGAGTGGCGATTGAAGTGGTGGCGGTGGTGGTGGTGGCACTGGTCTGTGATGATACAATGGTTTATGGTGATGGTAATCGTGATGCTTGTCGTGATGCTTGTCGTGATGATAATCATGATGATAATCATGATGATGGCCAATCTCTTCGGGTGGTATATAAGCGCCTGGTGGACGTACACGAATTAATGCACCCGTACCATCGAATGGAAAAGGTGCTCCAAACCATGTGTACCTGTATGTGTAATTTTCAAGGATATTTAGTCTTACGTCTAAGTATATGCAATTACAATGTTCATTTAACGTACAGCGGTGAACGAGGACGTGGATTCCAAACAGCTGGAATTGGTGGTTGAAATGGTACCCAATCATTTGGATCCAGTTGCCGTGGTGAACGTTCTCTTGCTGCTATGTTTACGTCCACTTTGGCTTGTGACTTCATCGTTTCATTCTTGTTCAAACGATTACTAATCACTTTTGGCATAGTTTCACCTATGACGCACCACACGCATACCATCGCGACCACAAATGATATTCGTAACAACTGAAAAGAGAGAACGAGACAATTTTTTTTCTATGAATCACACCGAATTTTTCATCACACATTCTCGGAATTCAGTAGTTAAAAACAACACATTAATCTAATCAATTAAAAATGCAGATGAAAGATATCATCAAGAATGTTGAGAATCCCAACTTGAGATGTAAGATAGAAAATAGGCACATAAAAATAAATAATTCATTGTGAATGAAATATAACCATTTTTTTCCTGTTCAAACAACACTATAAATTGGACTGATTTGAATTAAAAACCGATTCGGATGCGCTCCGAACAATTATGCATAGAATATGAGACATTTCAAATGGTTTTTATATGATTTATGAAGTTTGAGGTAGTCTTTTCCATTGCTGGAGGGAATGTGATTGAATAACATCCTCTTATCGCAAAACTCGATTGAAAATAATAATAATTGGAGCATTCAATTGGTGACTTTCAATTTCGATTATTATTTTGAATAAATGCAGACGATTCTCCGGCCGCTAACCGATTTCAACAAAAATCGTCGCATTCCTTTGCTTTGCCTCATCTATCATGCATGAATACTTGGCCATGGAATATCGTTCGCAATAAAAGAAGCAGAAAATGAGCGAAAATGAAATTATTTTCACAGTTCAACGATTATTGTCGCATATTCTCACCCACTTGGTCATGCTAGCGGATAATAGATATGTTTCAATAAGCCATATGCAATTGCATTCGGTTTGATTAAGAACTTTTGATTGTGAAAAGGAAAAAGCCAAATTCACTTTGCAATTGAATTTCGTCAAGAAGAAAGAGTGATTTGTTGAGGTAAGAGAAAAAAAAAGCCGTTTCGTCATGCTAAAAATAGTTGGCTTTAATTGCGCTAGCGACAAAAGATCATAAGGTCTTCGATCGCATTTTGATTTATTTGACTCTTCTCAGTACAAAAAATCAGAGGTGCTAATACGCTCAATTTCACGGTTACTTTAAGTTAAATAATAATGTTTACGTTAAATGAACTTTGTAATCGCATTTGCTTCGACGTAACACCTTTCCGACGTCTTTTCTGAAGAATTACACTTAACAGGTTTGGCTGAAGCTACAAGTGCATTTGGCTTGGTGCTAATGCTTTTCAATAGATGACATCACTTTATCATAGCTTTTCATAAGTTTGAGTTTTGTCCGGTTCAAGTTTGATGCTGTGTCTTCTTGAATGAAAATGGAAAAAATAAAATAAACAAAAAAACGTCACAAAGAATATTGATTCATTGCACTTATCTCATAATAGAACAAACAAATGGGTTGCAATGTAATCGCCTATTTAAAATACGGCGTTGCGCAACTGGGCCTTTAAATCCAATTGTCCCATCATACCAATTCCCTATTGGAAAAATAGTCGACTGAATCATTTGCTTATTTCGAATGGTGTGTGCAACGTCTCTTTTTCTCTCTCTCTCTCTCTCTCTCACTCTTGCTCTTGCTCTGTCGAACCAAGTTTGACAGTTCGAACAAGCTTTGTGTCAGTGTTGATTTTTTCTTTCTTTCATTTCTGTGTGTATTACATATTTTCTGTGTTTTTTTCTTCTTCTCTGTAGTGTATTGCCATCAAAGTGCATACAATCATTTTCAGTAACACTTACACACAATAGAATTCGTGTCGTTGTTTTTTAGTTCTCTCTCCTTTTTTTTCCATAAAACAAAAATCATAAGCAAAGCAAATTCAAAACTCTATCTAAATTGAGAATATTTAGTTATTTTTTTCTAAAATAAAATAAACATTGAATCATTGTAAAATAGTTGAAATTCGAAATAAGTTTCATTTTTTTTTATAATTTTATAAGCCATAGTGATTTAGTGTGAGCCTTTCATTGAAATTGATAGAAAAAAATGTGTTCGAAATCAAAATAAGGAACAGAAGTAGCAGAAAAAAGTTTGTACAGTGGCCAGAAACAAGAAACGAAAAAAAAATCGTATTTACAAATAACGCGAAAACCCAAACAAAAATCAGTTGCAAGGAAGAATAACTCGCACAAACGCATTCATCAACAAAAATAAAAATAAAAATACAAAACAAAAGTGCATTTTTTTCGTTTCGACATAGAGAGAGAGGAGAGAAATAGAAAAAACAAGCGAATCGAGTTGTACATTGGAAGCAAGAAGAACCTTCAGAAGAAGAAAAAAAAACTGGAAGTGCATGGAAATAGCTATGGAACTGTGGTGAAACTAGAACAAGCGATTGCAAAAGAAAAACTCTACTCGTGAGTGTGTGTGATTGTTTTTTTTTCTTTCTGTTTGTGGTCTCTTTGGCCGAAGAAACATTGAATTTATCGCGAATGGAAATGTAAGTTTTCCCCATCGAAGTCAAAGTCATTTGCTAAGAATCTGGTTTCCTTCAACATTGTCATTGAAAAAATTCGCTCCGCATAATTCGCAAGTGTGGTACTGTGCTGCTGCTGCGGCTGCTGCAGCAGCGTTCGATGGTTGTTCCTTTTGTGTATAGATATGTGCTTGCAAAACAATTCCATACGAAATATTTGCAACAGCATAACCAAAAAAAAAGAAGAAACAGACAACAGAACAAGCAGCAGCACCAGCAGCAGAAGTACAAAACATACAACATCAGCGAGCGCAGAGAGCAATTACAACAACAAAACGTTTGTCGAACCTGACAGTCTTTTTTGTGTGTGTTGAAAACGAGAAGCAGCACCAAAGAAAGACATGCAAGAGAAGTTACACACGCATTCGAACACACTCACACACATACAGAGACACACAGGCCCGACACATCAATGTATCGATGTCGTACAGGCAATGTAACACACGGGGGCCAGCCTGAAATGCATACATTCGCCGCACACACACATCTACAACCGTCGTGTGTTTGGTGTTACACACAGCCACCATACAGCCGTTTTTCTTTGTACGGCATTTCAGCACAGAAAGAAGAAGAAAAAGAGAGAGAGAAAAAAAGCGAACCAGGCGAAAAACTAAAACATGCACGGAACTGAGAGTGCTAAAAAAACAGATTGCGCGTGTATTCATAATAGTTAGAGTTTCGCTGAACAAGATTCTGTTTTTCATTATTGACATTTATTGTATTGAGATCTGCGTGTGTTTTTTCGGTAGATTTTTTTTTCGCTCTCTCTCTCTTCATTCTTCTGCAACGAGTCACAGAACGATCATCGGTTTGTATGTATGTGTGTGAAGACAGAGGTTTTTTCTTTCGATTTCAGTTTGGCTCTGTGTATACATACATATTTTTGTTTTGCCTTCTACATTTTCTCACTCGCGCGACTTCGCGGTTATTTCTCTCACTCTGGGACTATGACAGATCTTTATTGTGTACATATTCATTATTATTGAAGATACCGTTAGCCGTGGCTGTGCTGTGTGTTGCCACTCAAGTGTCTGTGAGAGATGGTGATTGAACCACAAGAAAAAAAAGAAAAAAAAAGCGAACTCAAATCGAAATCTCTGACCAAGTGTGCGCCGTTTAGTGTGAATTGTAAGTGAAATTAAAGCAACTATTAAAGAGGCTTCTCGGAGGTATTTGGAGTTCGTCGAGGTTCAAGAAATTACTATTCTAAATCGAATCGATACCAGTCAAGATAGAGATAATTTTTGTATTTGATTTTTTTTGTTGTTATCAAAATCCAAGAAAAACCAGCCATAATAATTCGAGTAAACAAACGATTGTGCAACGGGATTGTGTAAAAAGGGCAACGAGTGTTGAAATTTTTTTGAATGGCATTACTCATATTCGTTCATGTCGTTGTATGTTTTTTTTCTCGGCTTTTTCTTTCAATTGTGTTCGGTTTGAACTTCGAAAGTACCTGATTTATGTGTGCATCTGTTGTTGTTGTTGTTGCCATTGCTCTTGTTGCTTGATTCATTATGCCTGACATTATATGTGAGTCTTTGGCTCGGCTGTGCGCTGTGAGTTGGTTTTATTGTTTCTTGTCACTTTTGGATTCAAAGATCGAAACGCTTGAATGGAAAACCATTTATCTCTGTGTCTGCTTGCTGCTGCTGTTGCTGTTGTGCTACGAAAGCAAGAAATACCACTGGCGGCAGCAGTGTAAGAATTGCATAAACGCTCTCTCGCTAAAGTTCATGCAATTCACATAAATGATGTTGAGAATGCTGGAAACTCATTAAATAATTATTATTATTTTGCCATTGTAAATGTGACGAAAAAAAGCAGCAGCAGCCGCAGCAGTACCAACTATTTCGTAAGATTTCTCTCTTTTCTCAAGCACTTACATCGTGCGCCGAGAGTTGTTTTTCATTTGCACTTTGTATACTACTGAAAATATCGCGCGATGGCGAACAGGTTGGCCGAATTCTCTCTGTGTTTCGTTTAGCCTCTTTTTTTCTCTCTTTACAATGTAATCAACTGTAAAATTCGCATAATTGAGGTTCGGTGTTTGTAAATCAACGATACAACGAATTCCCATTTACAAATCAGATGTTGACCGAATTTATGCGTTGTGTGTGCGTGTCGTGTCGGGTCATGAATCATATATATGCTTAAATTAAACATTTACGATGAAATTAGCACGCGCCAGCGCCAGCAATAACAAACGGATCAAATCAAAGTCGTGACGTTCAATTTCTCCGAATCGGTTGCATTGGAATTGGAAATGGAAATAAATAGGTGAAATTATTTCTCTCATCACCGTTTGCTACCACTGGCTGGCTGGTATCTGGCCTCACTGAGGCCCATATTAACAATACAATTGAAATGATTGGCATAAAAATGAAACTATAACATCGTTTTTTTTTTCGATGTGATTCATGATAACACCGAACAATAACTGGGGAATTACAAAAAGCCATTGTTCGCAGCATGGAGACGATACAAAACAGAGGCAAATTAAATGACCAAGAATTAAGCGAGATAACAAATCGAATCAGGGATTGATTCAATGGAACAGCTGAACTGAATGATAGAGATGCGCACACGCGTTTGTTCGATTGTTGTTGTTATTGATGTTGCTCTGTTGTCGTTATTCGTCGTAGCCATAAAAAGTCTTTTTGATAGGAATGTTGTGTGCTGTTGTTTCGTCAAGCCAGTTCAAATAGAATAAAATCAATAAAACAGAATGTTGTACAATGTAGAATGTGCATTGTGAATTGAATAGAAAAAAAAGCAGTACGAAATCGACGATGACGACGAAGAACGCATCCACGCATACGATATGCACGAGCCGAGGCAATTCGATATCTAGAACGCACACACGAGCAAAACGAGCGCGCGCGAGTGCTCGCTTTTCAATTCAAACCTACAATCGACGAGTTGTTCGACTTGATGATAGTCATGCCAACGTTGTTAAACATGCAATTGCACGAGCGCCAATATTGACAAGAATCAATAATGAATGAACGAGCTGGTCTAGTTTGCCTGTTTCGTCATTCGCTCTCTCTGTCTGTGTGTATGTGTGCTTGTGTGCACTCGCCCCGCGCGCGTACACATAATTGGAAACATACTTTGTGCCCGAACGGGCGTTCAAACGTTTTCTTTGTCCGAATTTCGATGTGCATCAATCGCACACATTCATTTTATTATTTTTATGATTTCGAGTATGATATTTTAATTTGAAACAAGCAATTAGAATGCCTATCAAAATCAACGCGTGTATTGATTCAGTCGGACGCTGTATAAACAAAAGAAAATCGAAACAAAATGCCTTGCTTTTAATAATTGACGTTATAGCTGCTGCTGCTGATGACGACGACGACGTTGCTTTTCAAGCTCGCTCGCTTCGCTCGGTTTCTATCTCGTTTGCCAATTCTAACTGAACTTCGACTTGCCTCGATGCCAAATTACGAAAATCGATGTGTAGCCATTTGTGTGTAGCAAAACATGCGAATTTTCGCGCACACACACACACGTCTCATTTTTGCTGGCAGCGATTTTGGTTTATTTTTGACACGGTTTTCGCTTGAAAACTCAATGAAAATTAAAATAATTTTTCCAATTCAACGATTTTTCCTTGTGCGAGGTACAAACACATGGTCCAAGGCAAGGGCGAGGTACACGGTGAACGATAAAGAGTAGAGAATCTGCGACGTGTTTGCCAAACTGAAATGATTTAACGAGAGAGAGAGAAAATAAAATAAAATCGATATTTGACAAATTTAAAGTCGGTTAGCCATAGACCCAGACACATGCATAAGCACATCTCACGTACGTGCCCGTCCGACTACTGCTTTTACTGTCGTATATTGTGTGCGATGCTTTCGGAAAGTATTCATAAAAATTTACACATTTTATCAAGTCAAATAGTATAATAATATAATTTGGTCGACGGTCATGGCACACGTTTCGTTCACCGTCTTTTTTTGTTCGCTCTTCTATTTGAATTTCGTCGGGAAACTCGTCCGGTTGACATTGGAAAGAGAGCGAACAAAACGACGCACACAAAATTTTTCCCTATCGCACGTGTATTTTTAGCGAAAGTGATCTCTCTGCGTAATATTTTGCACGTACGTTTGCGTCAAGCGAGAGATAAATGAATTTTTTCGGATGTTCATAACAAAAAAGATTGCCGTTGGACATGGCCGAAGAGAAAAGCGAATTTTCTCACACGCAATTTTCCATTTCTTTTTGAATTTGTTACAACAGAAAATAGAAGAGTGTTTTTTTTCTCGGTCACAATAGAGTTGAAACAGCCATAAGTGACTTTTGAGCCTCAAAAGAGCGTTTAGTATCTTTAATAGCATCGTATTCAGGGAGTCAAAAAGTTTTTGGAGCAGAAGCCATTCAGTTTAAAGTGTGAGCTCCTGGTTAAAAGTCATTTTGCTTTGGAGTGGAATTTGTTTTTTTTTCTGCTTCTATTGGTGTTTTTCCAACGTGAAGCCTCACGTGAAAGAGAACAGTTAAGAATCAAAGCAATTTCATGCGATAGAGAGAAAAAAATCGTTGGAATTTAAAATATAGACCATTTTCAAACCAAATTTACCATAAGAAAAAGACTTAAAATAAATTTTGCCATCCAAAAATATTTCAAAAGAAACGTCGCAACAATTAGAACAACGTGTCGAATGAATCATTGTGTCTAATTGCCGCTCGACTTATTTCTCATTTGGGATTCCGACATCAGACAAGTAAATGAAGCAATTTGGTCAAATCGAGAGAGGGAAAAAAGGTGTCAGAAATAAATTAAACAAATTGAACAAAGTCGAAGCACATTAACAAAACAAAACCAAAAAAGAAACAACAACGTCTCAAATTGCTCTGGTTTGGTGCAGCATTTCCGTGGAATTCTCACTGGTTTGTGTGTTATTTGTATATTGATGATCGTATTCAAGCCAAATAGATTCTGCTGCGATTCGAAGAAAAATCAACGCGAATAGCAGCGGCAGCAAACAAAAATCAATGACCTAGTAGCATTTACGTCTGAAAAATCAATTTAAAGTGTTTTTATTTGCTCGTAAATGACACAAGTCATTCGATAGTATACGGTTGGCAAGTGTGTAATGTATATAGGCACGTTGGGAGTGAGTAATCGGGAGATCGTGCAATGGGAAGATCATCAATGCTCATTACGAGCAATAAAAGCCATCTAAACAAAGGCAAAGCTAAATCCTACGTCGAGTGAGTTTCATTTAAACGCGAGACGCGATAGTTCACCGATTTCTCTTTTTTTTTGCAAAATCATTTTTGCGCACCGCGTTTTGGCGTGTATGTGACAGGCCAGCAAAGACACTCAATGCACAGCGGAACAGAGAGGGTGTTTTTGTTTGAAATTTCTGTAATTTTCCGTTTTTATTCTCTTCGCACACAAAAAAATTGAGCTCATTGTGACACTGGTTACAAATTCGGAAGTGTACAAATTTAGCTAAAAACGAAACAGAGCAGCACATTTTAACGAACATCGAACGACAACAATGTAAAAATGTGACTGTTTGAAATTGCTCATTTCCACACAAAAAAAATTGTAATCATAATTTACCCAACGGAACCATATATTCAAAACAAAACAAACTGAAATTGAAAATTCGGCGTGAATAAAAATGTACAGCTACACAGCTGAAGTAAGAAGAAAAAAAGCGCAACGTTTTTTCTGTTGTTTTATTACATGATTTGAGCTTACTTCAAATCAGAGAGAGCGCGCGCGCGCGCGAAAGAGTTAGAGAGAAGAGAAAAAAAGAAGTGCGAGCTCGCCGAAAAGCATGAACGAAAACGTGAAAACGAAAATGTACTATTACTAAATTTAGCAATTAAGGAAGCACGACTTTTACGGCAGCACATGAACATTTATGTTTGTGCGATCGCAAGTATCTAGTAATTGTAGCGCGGCTTAACGTCTGTGTATGTAAGTCTGTGTTTATGTACAATTGCAATCCATATTGTACTCTCAATGCCGTTGTTCATTCAAACTCTGGCGCGCAAATACACGAACAAATTTTGACTCGATGAAAATGAAAGAAATAAAAACCTATAAAGTGAGCGCTTATTTAGATCGGTTTCAATTGTTCGATATTGTTTTCTCGCTTGTGCACTGTGCATGGTGTGTGTAGAGGTGCGAGTAAAGCAACACACGAAAGGCAGCAACGGCAGTAATAATAGCGCGAACACACCTTACATTGAGCGGCTTACCAAACAGCCACAGTGGCGTCACCGATGATAATTCGCACATTAAATTAGACGTTACTCTTTGTCGCTACGGTTTATATATGCTTTCGAAAATGAAATTAAAATTGAATCAAAAACTCGTCGTTATGATATAGATTCGCTTTTTTTGTGTCCACAACACATCCAAACAGACACGATCCACCACTTTCAGTTCGAACAACTAAAAGTTTTCAAACGAACCAATGTCGTATCTATTAGTTGCTGCAAACGCGCGAACAATTTTGCTGTAAATTTTTTTCTTCTGTCAACTGAAAAATAATATAGCAAACGATACTGTAAAAATAGAAACACTTTGTTTGTCAACGGAAAATTATTGTTTTGAAAAAAGTGTAGCCGTAAAACAAAAGAATAACATGCACTACGACAATGTGGTGAATGTTCGACAGTAACAAACAAAATAAAAACGCAAAACATGGCAATAAAAACAGACTTTATGTCCGAATTTCAAGTAGAAATTTCACGTAGAAGAAGAAATTACGTCCAATCTATTGTGCATACATATGGTCTATTGCGAACATATCTCTCTCACTTGAATTCAAATTTTCACAAAATACTCACATTCATTTCAGGATAAAAACTTACATTTTCAAGCTTTGAGAGGGAAAAAAATTCAATTATAAATAACCGACAAAAATACATCGCAAAAGCGAATCGAAATTGTCGAAATGAAATTGAAACCTAAAAAAAGAAAATTCAATTGAAACCTAAAAAAAGGAGAAGCAGGAAAAAAACGAAAATCGAATCTGGCCAATTTCTTTCTCGCATTCTGTCGGTTCATAATTTCTGATTGTGCACACTGAACAGCATGCGGCAGTGAATTGAGAAAAATCCTCGAAGCAAATATTAATTAGCAATTAAATGTATATATATCGTGTGCATGCATTCTAATCTCGAATCGATCAGACGCCCAGTTGTGTGTGCTTTCGTTCATTTGTTTATTCGGCGCAGTTCGCCTAACTCTAGTCGAGCGTGTCTCGCACTGCGAAATGAAGAAAAATATCGGTTTTGGCAACTGTGAACACACACGTTTTTTTCGCTGTCGTCTTTCATTTCAGTTTTTTTTCTTCTCTAAACATTTGTTTGCACATTCTCATTCACTCTATCGCGCGCGCGGGCTTTTCAGAATATACATGAAGTAAACAAACTCTCCTAAATATTGCAATATAGTTAAATATCAGTTTTGAATAAAACACACATTTGTCGACGTCTTGCGCATCGCCAAAAGTGGCAATCGAGGCAAATGTTTCGCCTCTCTCGATGAGGAGCAAAAAAAAGCGCGGCGCACACAAATTGTTTCTGTGTTTTTCATATCATAGAATCGACATTTTGTTGTGATCTCGACCCGTCGTGTGTTTTGAGGAATTTCAGTGCCTTTTTTTCTACTCTCGTGTTCAGTTATCCAGGAGGCGTACGTGCTATCATCATTGCTCGTTTTTTTTTCTCCACTATATTGGCATCGTGTTCACTTTAATTTGAGGAAGAAGCGAGAAAAAAAAACATTAATGGAAAATAAAGTGATGTGATGCATGTTGAAGTGTTGCAGACAGTGCCGTTTTATATAACGATAAAGGTCATTTCATGTTCCACAATAGAGAGCGACAGACAATCAAATTTAGTCTGACCTTTTTGTCAGTGTATGTGTGTATCGCTGTTTTTTTTTCTGTGTTTCGCGGGCTTTGAGCCCCGCACTCACTCAGCATCACAGCTAGTTGGTGTGCATATGTGGCTGTTTTAAATTTTCACCGAGATATTTATCATTTCAGTCTAAAATTAAAAGTTCGCGCTCGCGCTCATGAATCACAGCACATACAGAAAAAAAATAACAATATATATGAGTGGTCGGGAATAAAAATGACTAAAGTCGAACCATTTGATGGATAAGCGTATCAAAATATTCATGTTTTTTTTTGATGTGCAACATAAATTCTGTTCGCTTGGAAGTGAATCGTGAACAAAAGGGATATTGCAGCTTTTTTGACCAGAAAAAACGCCATCTTACGTCTTGCCCGTAAATTATTTTACTGTACATTTAGATGGTAGAGCTTGAACAAAAGTTCGACACTATGCATAATCTTGGAAGGAGCTTGATAAACTTGATGAAATACATATATTTTATGGTCGCTGCAATACCCCTATGATCGTGAAATATCTGCTGACTTTAGAAATCATGTTCCACTAAAGCAAAAATATGCGATAAACCTTCAAGTCGATGATGAAGGTGATGATTCATTTTAATGGTGGTTTCGATTATGATTTGGTTTTGGAAAATAAATTGAATAATTTACAATTTTTTCCGATTTTAATGCAGTCTTTTGTCTAACCAATCCATTGGTGTTATCGCCACATCAAAATTCGCGCTCCTTATCACTTGATTTGCATTCCAAAACCAAATCACAATCAAAACTACCGTTAAAATGAATCATGATTCCTTCATTATCGACTTGAAAGCGAATTGCACATTTTTGCTGCAGTGTGACATGAATTATATAGTTAACAGATATTTCACGATTCACTTTCAAGCGAAAAGAATTTACGCTTATCCATAAGTGGTTCGAATTTAGTCATTTTTATTCCCGATCACTCATATGTATCGTTTGCGATGTGAGTAAACGTGCGATTGTGGCATATGAATGCATGATGAACAATTTTTTATATAAATAAGCGATTTTCAACGGAAAATTGACGTTAGTCTCATCATTTATTGTTGTACATGTGTACGTTGTTTTTTTCGCTCTTGATGTTATTGCTTCTGGCTTTCATTTTCATTCGAACCGATTTTTTTTCGGCTGTTATTCCGCCGAAATTGGAATCGTTCATTTCAACAAGTATCCTCTCATCGCTCTCGTTACTAATTGCATCAATTTTGAAACTGAATACATTTTTTTGTATTGTGTTGTTTGAGGCGTGAATTAATCACAATCTCGTTTTTTTTCCTCGATTATTTCCAGATCCAACCGAGAAATTAAAAAAAAACCCAGCAAACATGAAACGAACATCACAATAGGAATTTAGATAAAGGAGGAAAGTGACGAAAGCGTTCTTTATCGCCGACGCCGCGCCCCGTGTAGCAACAATACTCGGCCACACAACGGATTCGACGACAAAACGCTGTAACACATCTTCACGGGATTGTTTTTGACAAAACACAAAGAAATATTTACATACACCGCTTGATTTTATTTGTTTTCAACAAGTCGACGGCAAATGTAATGAACCAGAAAAGAATTGGAACATTACAGGCGATAACAACAAAGTGAATGAAAAAGAAAAAAAGGGAGAGGGAGAGAGAGAGAGAGAGAAGGAGCAGCGATAAATTAGATCGTAAACAAATTATGTCCACTTCATTCTAAGTAGCAGATACAATACTATTTTAAGATATAACCATGGCGGACGGGCATATTCATAAGCATTTACAGTCGATGTTCCACTTGCTTCGCAATGAGGAAACATTGAAAATGGTATGAAGTCACCTATTTTTTTTAACTTTTTATTTTGGTTTCTTTTCTTCCTTTTTCTTTGTACTTTTTTTTTAATTTTAAAACTTTTCTCCATAAAAAATCGAAGTTTTTCGTTGTTAAAAAACATACCGTTTACCTTTCTTCTTTTGAAATCACAACAAAACCAACTTTTTCCTTTGAAACCTATTCTCTTTCCAAAAAACATGGAACTTTTTCTTTAAAAAATGACACTTTTTCAACTGAAACCCTTGGTATTTTAATTTGAACAGGCGGTTAAATTGGAGAGTGCTCGATACGGTCGTACGCGGTATTTAGTGGTGGTGTCCTGTTCACGAAAGGACATCAAACGGAAATTGACACAATCCCATCAACAGCAGCAGCAGCAGCAGCAGCAACAACATTTTAATAATTTAATTAACGCTCAAAATATCAACAGTAGCACTAAGGGTATTAGCAGTAATAATCGCAACAGCAATGAGAATCAAAATAGTAATAGTAGCACGACACCGAGTCCGAATCGAAAATCATCGCCAGACCAATTGCCGAATAGTTCGCCCGCACTAATTGCAACTTCGTTAAAAAGTGGCACAAAGCACCTTATCAACGAAAAAGATCTGACGAATTTAAATCGACTCTCAACATCACCGAAACAAGAACAACAGCAGCAACAGCAGCCATTGCCGCCGCAGCAGCAACAAACTGATCAGCTCGACGAGATGAATCAGAACAACATGAACGAAGTGGAAGAATCGTGTTTGTTAGGCATTGATTGCAATGAAAAAACCACAGTTGGCTTAGTTTTACGAATATTGGGTGACACAACCATCCGATTGGATGGTGACGGGTAAGGAGTAGCTCTAAGCTGAAACTTAAATCACGCTCAACCACGCTCTCTAATCGTTTTTTTTTCTTCGTTCTCTATTTTTTACAGTGGTTTTTGCATTAGCGGCAGCGGGCGAACGCATATTTTTAAACCAGTTTCGGTGCAGGCGATGTGGTTAGTCATTGATCCGTGTTAAACGTTATTTCGTTTATTTCGTATTTATTTTGGAATTCTAATGAGTGTATTTGTGTCTTGATTCCGTGTATCTTTTCTGTAGGTCTGCGTTACAAACTTTGCACAAAGTATGTGCAAAAGCCAGAGGGAATAACCTGTATCCTGGTCGACCGTCGCATGAATGGGTCTCATACTATGACGAACGCATCGGTTCCGATCAATCGTGTTTGAACGAATGGAATGCCATGGATTCACTTGAAACTCGACGACCACCGTCACCAGATGCCATACGCACTAAGTAATTATCCGCTCCAATTGCCTCTCATCCATTTCAATTTCTCTCACACGGAAAATTGCCTTCGGGCAACTTCTTTACTTTCGTATCATCCTGAAAACAATTGCCGATGATGAAATTGACTTTTTTCTTTTTCTTTCCGTCGCTATCTCTCGTACACAGACCGACTGAACGTGAAGAAACGGAGAAAGTCATTAGGACTACGTTGAAGGAAATTATCGTACAACTGGATCTCGATGAAGTGACATCAAAATTTATACGAACAAAAGTGGAGGAGCATCTCGATATGAATCTAACGGAGTATAAATCATTTATTGACGAAGAAATGCTGAAAATTTTAAAACAACTCGATGCACCAACGAAAATCTTTGACCACGTCTACTTGGGCTCCGAGTGGAATGCCAGCAATTTGGAAGAGCTGCAGAAAAATGGGTACGTTTCGCAATCTCATTTTACATCATATCAATCACCTTCGATTGAAATGTCAATTAATTATCTGTTGTTGTTTTTTTTGTGTGCCCACAATCTCTTTTCTAGGGTTCGACACATTGTAAATGTGACACGTGAAATTGACAATTTCTTCCCCGGCATGTTTGACTATTTCAATGTTCGAGTGTATGACGATGACAAGACAAATTTGCTGAAATACTGGGATAATACGTACAAGTATATATCGCAGGCGAAAAATTCGGGCTCAAACGTTCTAGTCCATTGCAAAATGGGAATCAGTCGATCGGCATCCGTTGTGATAGCGTACGCAATGAAGGCATACGGTTGGAGTTTCACCGAAGCAATTGATCACGTGAGAAACAATCGAAATTGCATAAAGCCAAACAAAAATTTCCTGAACCAATTGGAAACGTACCAGGGAATGTTGATGGCAATGAAAAATAAGGAGAAACTTCAGCGCAGCAAAAGTGATACGAATCTGCGGAGTGTGAAAGATGCTCGACTGTTGCCGGGCAGTGAACCGACTCCATTGATTCAAGCCTTCAATGCAGCGGCAAAGAAACAATCTCAGAATTCATTTCTAATGCGAAGTGCCACACTGTCGAATCGACCAAAAAGTTGGTCGCCCGACAGCCTAGAATGTGCGGTTTTGTTGCCCAAACAGCATTCACAATCGCTGGAATATTTGGCGCCCGAATGGAATGAAAAAGTAAAACTGAAGAATAACATGAGATTACCGTGTAAAAATGGGCAAAACTACAGTGTGTCTCAGAATCAGGTGTTTTACCTCGAAGAAGCAAATGTGATGCAACAATGCATGTCCAATGTAAAGCTTATTGTGAATGAATTGGAATCGAATGTGAAGCGCCGAACGGAGGGTAAACAAACCGTCGAAGGTAAAACTATGAACAAAGATTCCGATTCAAGCAATCAAAATGTAACGTTGCGTGTTGTAACAAAACCTCCGATTTCCACAACATCAACATGTGATAGAACGTCACCGTTTGGTTCGCTCAAACGCAGCGAATCGAATAAATCGCGTTCGGATTATGATGGGCAATCGGAAAAGTACAGCCCGGTCATGAAATCAAGAAGTTTGGATGTATCGAACATGGTTACCAGCACTGCCACGACTGCCATAAATGTACCACCGTCGACAATAAATAACCGACCACCGTACGGTAGTCCGAACAATCGACATTCACTTCATGAAGAAACCATGTCGAACACATCATCAAATCCAAACGTTTCACCAGCATGGACGCGCCGCTTCTATAATCCTACAAATTCGACCGCGAACAACAATAACAATAACAGCAACAACATTAACAGCAACAGCAACAATAACAACAACAACAACAACAACAATTCATCGTCTCGATCTGGTTCATCGTCATCGAACTCATCGAACTCCTCGAATTCATCGTCATCGTCAAATGTGTCGTCGCTGGCGAGTATGTCGACCGATCTCATCAACGATTTATGTAAAACGGGCTCGAAAAATGTAAAAAATCTGCGAAATGCATATTCACTCAAATCGACAAATCAAAATATCAACTCAAATAAAACCGTTGGCATGATGCCAACGTATGCCGCGGTGGATAAACGTAATCTATTCAACGATAGCGATACGGAATCGAGTTTTGTAAACATGACAATTGCTCGACTGGCCGACCAATTTTCCAAAGATATTATGCAACGCATAAAGAAGCGTTGCAAAAGTGATGGCATGCTATACGAATCGGACCTGTTGGCAACCGTTAACAAGCGATTCTCATCATCATCACCGACTGACTATTCGGAAAAACCGCTTAACAACCGGTCAGCAATCACATGGAACAATCGATTGGCCAACAACAATAAGAATAACATTCAAATAAAAGGCAAGCGCAATGTAAAAAATCGTGGATCATTGTGTCGTACCGTGGAGAATCTCAAATTGAATTTTGAATCGAAAGAGACTGATGCATCATCGAATATTGGGATTGCAAAGGAGGCGAAGCGTGGTAAATCGTTGCCCTCGTCTCCAGTTGCATCAGTCTATGCGAATAATATGTCGATGACAACAACAACAACAACGATGGCAACGGCACCAACAACTGTCGAATCGACGCCAACCACCCTTAAGCTCAACTATGATAAATTAGGCTGCGAAGAAATCAACGTCAAAGGATTGGTGGACAAATACGAAGTGACCAAATTGAAAAATGAGACAAACACTAACGCCACCGCTGCCGCCGCAGCTGCCACATTCAATGCATCCACTCCAAATGTAATAGCACGCTTCAAGCGTCACACCATCCATCAATCACCGCAACATAATACAATCCATCCAAAACCGCCACCAATTCCACATGCATCGATTGTCGTCGCTTCAAAGCCTGCCAACATTTTACTATCCAAACAACCACTGCATCAAAATAATAATCAATCCTTTGCTAGACTCAAAGAGCACTTTAATTCAGCCTCTGCTTACAACACTATGTGAACAAGAAACATACACAGAAAACAAAATGATACGAAAAAAAAAATTTATTATCGAAATTGTTTATAATTATTTAAATTGAAGAGAGAAAAAAAAGAAAAAAAAATAAATAATCTTTTATGATAATTTTTTGGATTCAATTCAATGGCATTCAAAATTTATCGCTTTTTTATGTTTTTTTTGTTTTTCTTTTTTCCTTTTGTGTAAATAAAAAAAAAGCTACAATCTATACATGAAAATTGATATTCTGTGTTTTTATTTATCGGGCCCAGAGCTGCGCTGGCCTGACAACCGAACAAGATTTATGACGTTGACTAGTATAATGTAATCCGTTTAAAAGAAGCTCAATCACAGCAATTAGCCATTCCGTCGCATATCAAATAATCCTAATTGTAATTACTACCGGATCGGTATCACTTTCAATCGAATTCGAAGGGACATAAACCAACAGTGCTCAGACACACCGCGTGTCTATCTATCACACGAACTCACACACACACACACCGAGAGATATTTGATGGCAAGTAAATGGCAACAATAAGTATATCAAATTTCATTTGATTCCATTCGCCCAAACGAAATATATTTTCCGTCGAGTGTCATTATGTTGGATTCAATTATGGCAAATGCACTATATGCTAGTCGGATTCGAAGTGAAGAACGAAGCAAAACCTTTTTCCCCTGTAGCTCGCCCAACAACGTCAATTACATTGAACGTGAAGTGTGTTGACTCTCGACATTATTAGATTTATTGAATTTCAAGGACAAAATCTCATTTCATATCAGCTCGATTCCATTATGCATTTGCAGCTATTTTTATATCGCACCCAAATCCTTTTACGCTTTATCATTTTTGATGGATACGAACACGCTCAACTGGTCGTTCAGCGATACACAACACACAATCGACTCGCATTTTTTTTCTTTTATGTCTCACTCTTTCCATTTCGATTCATTGCATTGATCCAATCAAGCACTCATATTGATGGCATTGCACGCCACACACATGTGGAAAACAATGAAGTAGCGAGAAGAGAGCAACAGCACTGTTATCCGAATTTGATACACTTCAACATCAATTTGAAGTGATAAATATTTGTGATTTTTGTCGATGCTCTCTTTTTTTTCCGCTCTGTCCATACTTCACTCTATATATAATATTGTTATTATTGGTATTTACTGGGGTTTTTTTTCTGCACACGTTCGCAATTCCATAAAGCAACTCAATTTCGATTTTTGTGCGTCGTTGTCGCTTATCGTTTGTTTATTTCATTTTATCTAGTTTATCGTTTTGTTCCATATAAAAACGCGCAGTATTGGTGTGTTTTCTATCGAGAGTCACATTGACTCCGAGATTATATTGGCTTTTTGCGCGTCCATAGTTAAGCGCTTAAAACTCAAACAATCTGCCCCGTTCATATTTCATCGCATACAAAGTCCTTAAATAAACTGTTTGTGCTACTGTAGTTTGGTTTTCGTTGTTCAAACAATATAAAATGCTTACTTTGCCTCTTTCTCTCTCTCTCTCTCTGTTTTCCTCGTATGCACAAGGTAAACGACCTACTTGCCGCCAATGAATGGAACTTAAGAAATGTGCTTTGCTCTTCTCATTTAAGTAGTGCAATATCTAGCTGAAGGGTAGATGGTGTTATTTGATCTTTCGTGTCTTGAGAATGTAAGCAATTTCACACTGAAGTTATGACTTTTTTGATTCCGCAAAGGAATTCTTCCACGCGATTCTTCCGAATCATAAAACTTTGACTAGGGAAGAAAAATGATGTTCACTCTGACGTGCTCAACATTCCCATTGGCAAAACGAATCAACTTTTGAATTGGGTTACTTTGTATGTTGAGCTAAATGACGATGGAGGTAAATGAAAAATTCGATGCATTTTTCATCGACGAAAATGAATGAACGGACCAAGTTTAAATTTTCCGCGTGAATGGCAAACGAACGAGAGGCGCCCGGGAGAGTGTACAATTTCCAAATTTATGATCATATCATCAACAATCAAAAGGGAGACTTTTTACTTGAAAAATGATGGGCAAATTGCTCGTGAGTAACTCTTTCATTTTAAATCCACCGTAAATTTGAATTGCTCGTAAAAATCGAGCGAGTGGATTTTTGCCAATTTGTATAGTTGATTTGCGTTCGCGGCACACACAAAAAAAAATAAAGACATGAAGCATTTTCACAAAAATTTGTTTCCGCCGTAAAAAGTATATTAAACACGTTCTCGCTGGATGCGTATAAATATACACATATTTCGCAGTTCATTTCATTTTTAAAACTTATTGTTTATTTCATTGAAATTTCACATTTCCGCACATTGTCAAATAAAGAACGCACAACAAAAACGACAATGAACATCAACACAATTTACATAAGCTCTGATGCTCACGCTCGCGACAAACGAACACACACACACACATGTGTGACACGCATTCTCTCTCGAAACTAAAATTGAAAGTGCATAAATCAATCGGCATTAAATGCTCAATACTTTCGCTGTGAACTGTGCGGAAAGATTCATTGTTTTGTGTGACACACAAAAAACAACAAAACATTTCGCTTGTAACAAAAGCATGGGTTGAGGTTTAATTGACTTTTTTTCTCGCTCTCGCTCTCGCTCTCTCTCTCTGCAGGCGAACCACACAATCGGCGGTTTGGTTGTTATGCGATCGAGCGCATTCACTTCCCAAATGAAGAAATAATCGAAAATGATAAATCGTGCTTTTAGTTTGGTTTTTTGTTTTTATTTTTTCTCGATTAGCCCAATTCGAATTAATTGTGATTCATTGCAAAAATTGTTATGAATATATTTTATCATCATGGCGATACAACCAGGGCGAGCATAATATACAGAAAAAATGCGGAGTTTCAGGCATTTTGGGCTGGTTCTTAATCTACTGTTTATTCAGGTCAAAAGAAGATATTTACATTAAAATGGAGTGAGTCTTTGATTGAATGAATTAATTTTCTTGAAATGCAAACAAACGGAACGGAATCACCATAGAAATGGAATGGTATGGTAAATTCTCTTCTGTTGATGTGTGTTTTTTTTATCTCGAATATGATTCGAAGATTAGACGGCAAGAGAGTGACGAACACAATTGCTTTTGGTGCTGCTTCCTGCAATGCGCAATACAAATAATAATAATTGTAATCATTTGTTTCTTCTCCGATGGAATTCCGACGCCGTTGCGTGAGAGAGATCGAGAGTGAGAGAAAGAAAAATGAATACAACAACAACACAAAACGGTTGCCATTATCAGTATGCAAATACGGTTGGGGTATTGCTTTGGGCTGTCTTCATCCATATTTTCTTCTTTTTTTTTGTTGGAAAAAACGTTTTCATACATTTTACAAGAAGCGTGTAGATTATCATCACAAAATGATGATGATGGATTCAGTGTGAGTGTGTGCAGAAGCTCAAAAATAAGGAAACATTGCATGAAAAGCATATCTCCAGCAGGAAGCCGTTTAGCTAAATCGTCAATTGGATTTGTACGCACGTTTTTACATTATTAAAAACAACGACGACGACGACGACTATGAAGAAAAAGTAGGAATCTGTGTGCCGACAAACACGGGCTCACTCACTCTCTTCCACAAAATCATTCCGTTTCGTTTCATTCGCACCATTTGCAAATGACGATGATGGAACATTATTAATAATAAATATGTCGAATTTAAAACGCCCCACGTTTTCATTCGGGCGTACATTTGGAAAATAAAATTAGCCGCTCCAAATGAAAAGTGGATGGAAAACACAACCAATATGTGTAGAGACATTCGGTCGTCTAAAGAACCGTCGCTCAATTGTATTAAATGACGCTGAACGCTAATGTGTTGTTTTTTTTGTTTTGCTTTTATTTTTATTTTTATTACCATTTTGTTGTTATTGTTATTATTTTTTTATAGATTGCTGCGGCTTTTTGCAAATGGATTTGCCATTCTTCGACGCCTCTCATCCATTTTCCTCCTCTTAATCGGTCCCTGAATGAAAACATTTCGACTTGAATGTGCCATGCACCCATCTGTTCTCAATCTATTTTCGAAATACGTAAAGCCATCGTTACTTATTATTCACTCAGTCAGTCAGTCAGAGCAGCGACAAGATGAGCTGAGCGAGCAGAAGGATAAAGAGGCGAACGATGAAAAACAATGGAAGACAATATGAAAAATGTTTGATTTACTTCAATTAACTCACTTAAATCAAGCTTTCAAGATTAAACAGAGAATTTTTTTGTGGCGTTCATTTTTTTCTGCCTTGAATTAATAGGTTCGACAATGATGACGGGCCCGCTCCTCTTTTTTTCTTTCTATCTCTCTATAAAGTGGGATCAAAATGGTAAATATGGAAAATGTTCACATCTATTTGCCTTTGGAGTCGGGTCGATCTGTAGGTCAAATCTGGATTGGTCATTATTGGAAATTCTCTCAACGTCAAAATCATACTTTGAAAATAAACCATGCGAAATATTGAGTACACACTGCCTAGATCCCTAGATGATAGAGACAGATTATTCAACATAGAAACGATTTTATTCTCTCTCTCTCTCTCTCTCTCTCTCTCTCTCTCTTTCTGATTCTCAAACGCACCGAGTCCGATTTATACGCATCAACTGTGAACCAGAAAAGACAAAGAAAATTGAGCACTCGACCACGCTCTGTTTCTCTGCCTCATTTATTATATAGCTTCAATTCAAGCAACTTTGACTTTTTTTCTCTGTTCTACACGCACGCACACAGGCACAGTCACCGACACAGTGAACGTAAAAATGACAAATATTTATATTCATTTTCTCTACAGTCATCATTTTCTCCATTAGCTTGATGGTTTTTTAAACAGTAAACGTCTTCGTTATGTATTATTTTTTTTAGGTAAAAATTTTTTAAATGCTAATGAAAAATATTCTCTCTGCAGTGGAGAGAAAAAAAGAGATATTTATCATCGTTCTGTGTGTTTGTGTCTTGCACAAAAAGAAACGGCTTCAAAGCCGAATGCAAATATAGAGAGCGACTATGTCTCGAGCAGAGATAAAAAAAATCTTCCTCCCGTGCATAATAAACAATGGGAGGCGAGCAAAAAAAAAGAGAGGAAGGAATTCATACACTTCCGCAGGGAAAAATCAAGAAAATATTTACTTATTCGCCGGTTTGTCGAGGCGAAAAATCTTCAAGCCTGAGCGGAGTGCATAACTGTGTCAGGCAGGCTCTGTGACGGAAAGAGAT